ACTATCAGAACTAGCTTAGAATCTTAGCTCATCAGTTTTCTTATAATTCTATACCTCTTTCATATGAATTAAAAGGTTAGTGCTTAGGAAATCAGGGAAGAGATCGACTTAGTAAAGGTGTCTTTGGAGAATGTGAGGTCAAAAAGACTGGCAGGGATATGAATAGACAGCAGGAATGGCAAAATGTCGACATGTTCTTAAAAATCACAATGAAATAAGACGCTAAAGGATTTTGTAAAGGGTGTGTGCAGTATGTTTAACCTAATCCTGACCAACAAAAAATGCAGATCCAGGTACTGAGAGCCCCTGGAACTCTGAACTCTCTAGTTGGCTTCCCCACAAACTGCCACACCTTGGCTAGTAGTCCCCTCTCTGGAGTTAGGAGCCCATCACTCTAAGACCTCTCAACCATGACAAACAGAGCAGAAATGAGAGTGGACAGAGTATCTATTCTAAGTGGGTCAGTTCATACAGAAGCATTAGGGGATGGGGAGATCTAGATGCGATGGCTTTTTCATCATTTTAACTGTGTGGAATGTGAAGTCTTTACAATAGCCCAGGATTTAATTATCTAAAATCCAGACTTCAGAGGTGACAACTTTCTGGAAGGCACTCAAATTATGGCATGAACTCTCCCTTTCAGCTCTGGGAAATGTGTTTCCTCTCCTCTGCAATGCTTGGCATTATTTATCAGGACAAAAGCGATCTATTTTGGGACTTATCCACAAATGCCAACCTCCCTCTCCTCAGTCAGCAAACGAGCAGTTCCGGCTGTGGAACAAGCGGTAACGTGGAAGAGGAGGGCTGTGATGCAGGGAATGAATGCATGAGGACACAGCTGCTGCAGCGGGTTATAAAAATACCTGTCCCTTGAGCGTGGCAACCAGGAGCCAGCGAAAAGAATGCACAGTTCTGAAGAATCAAAGTCACAGGGCAAAACCTATAGCACAGCGGTTCTCAGCCTTCCTCATGCCACGACCCCTTAATACAAGTCCTCTTGTGGTGGTGACTCCCCCAACCATAACATTATCTTTGTTGCTACTTCATCACTGTCGTTTTGCTACTGTTATATTCATATAACAGGGGGACCCCTGAGAAAGGGTCGTTCAACCCCCAAAGAGGTTGCGACCCAAGTTGAAGATCGCTGTTATTGTGGGAGAGTAGCTTGGTGAGAGCAGTGGGTCTGGGGCTTGTGATGCAAGCAACTGAGAACAACTGTATGAATATTAGTAACAGAATTGATCATTTCAATCTAAATACATGTATGCTTATATATTAATCAATGTTATTTAAAATAGCATTGTTATCGTAGTTTTTTAGTATATCCTTTGTGCTAAGTACTTTATATTTATCCTTTACAAATAATTGCCTCCATTTTATAGAGGAAATAAATAAGCTTAGGTAAATTGCTCCAAGTTGTAGGTTTGGGAAGAGTGTCCGGAATTCAAACCTAAGTCTGTTTGAATGCAAAGGCCAAGTTTTCCAGTCTGTCTCAAAATACAATGACTCCAATTTAGACTACCAAAATTTCTATAGCAGTAGCATCAATAGTCCCACCATTTGTTGAGAACCTGCAAGAAGACATACTCTCCTCAAATCCTCATGACCACTCTGTGACGTAGCTATTTTTGCCCCCATTTTATAGTCAGGAAACCAAAGCTCGAAAGACGAATTAATACGCCCAATGCAATAGCTAATAAGTGATGTGTTCCAGTGACTCCATAACCAGGGATCTCTCCACTCTCATATAATCCTGATATAAAGTAAGTTCTGCAGTTACGTGACAATTCTTATTTTTCTCCCCGGGCTCCACATTTTGCAGCAGAAGTTACTTTTGTCTTGTTGTGGTGGTGGTTAGGTACCATCAAATTGAATCCGACTCATAGTAGTCTTATGTACATCAGAACAAAACACAGCCCGTTTTGTGCATCCTCACAATTATTCTTTTGTTTGAACCCATCAATTCAGCCATTGTGTCAATCCAACTTGTCTAAGATCTTCCTGCTTTTGACTGCTCCACTACATTACTAAGCATAATATCCTTCTCCAGGGACTAGTCTCTCCTGACAACATGTCTAAAGTAGGTGAGACCAAGTCTTGCCATTCTTGATGTACTTCTTCCATGAAAAATTTGTCTGATCTTCCGGCAACCCATGGTACTTTCAATACTCTTTGCCAACACCTCAGTTCAAATGCAGACATTCTTCTTAGGATTTTCTTAGTCAATGTCCAGCTTTCATACAAGTATGAGGCCAATGAAAACACTATGATTTGGATCAGGTGCAACTTACTCCTCAAAGTAACATCCTTGATTTCCAACACCCCAAAGAGGTCTTGTGCAGATTTACTCAATGCAATACATCTTCTGATCTCTTGACTGTTGCTTCCATGAGCACTGATTCAAGGAGACAAAATCCTTGACAACTTCACTTTTTTCTGTTTACTATGATGTACTATTGGTCCAGTTGTGAGGAGTTTGGTTTTCTTTACATTGAGTTGTAATCCACACTTCATCAGCAAATGCTTCAAACCTTCTTCTCGTTCAGCAAGCAAGGTTGTGTCATCTGTATATCACAGGTTGTTAATAAGCCTTTTTCCAAATCTGATGCCGTATTCTTCTTCATATAATCCAGCTTCTCTGATTATCTGCTCAGCATACAGATTGACTACGTATGGTGAGAGGATGCAACACTGACACACACCTTTCCTGATTTTAAACCATGCAGTAGACCTTTGTTTTTCCTGTACAACTACATTTTGACCCATGCACAAGTTCTACATGAGCACAATGAAATATTCTAAAATTCCCATTCTTCTCAAGGCTATCCATGGTTTGTTATGGCTCACACAGTCGAATGCCTATGCATAATCAATAAAACATAAGTAAACATCTTTTTTTTTTTTT